TGGTGAGACCTCATGTGGAATATTGTGTCCAGTTCTGGGCCCCTCAGTTTAAGAAGGACAGGGACCTGCTGGAGAGAGTCCAGCACAGGGCAACTAAGATGATTGAGGGAGTGGAGCATCTCCCTTATGAGGAAAGACTGAGGGAGCTGGGTCTCTATAGTTTGGAGAAGAGGAGATTGAGGGGTGACCTTATTAGTGTATATAAATATATAAAGGGGGAGTGTCACGAGGATGGAGCCAGGCTCTTCTCAGTGGCAAACAATAACAGGACAAGGGGTAATGGGTACAAACTGGAACACAAGAGGTTCCACTTAAACTTGAGAAGAAACTTCTTCTCAGTGAGGGTGACGGAACACTGGAACAGTGCCCAGGGAGGTTGTGGAGTCTCCTTCTCTGGAGACATTCAAAGCCCCCCTGGACACATTCCTGTGTAAACTTATCGAGGTGTTCCTGCTCCGGCAGGGGGATTGGACTAGATGATCTTTTGAGGTCCCTTCCAATCTCTAGCATACTGTGATACTGTGAGAGTGATGAATGAACTACATGTTTTTCCAATTTACCCTTTACTATGGAAAACAGAGGAAAATGTCCAGTGGAAAAAAAAAAGTTAAGATTTTAATGTTCACTCACGTATCAGGGTATGTATGTGGACACTTGACCCACAGATCAACTTTGGCATATACTTCATTATCACCAGTCAATCCCTGAGGACGTAGAACTAAATTAATTTCAGGAGGTTGTTGCACCTGAAATGGAAAACAAAACTTTAAAGAGCTTTTCTGGTTTTGTTTTAATGAAAGCACGCAACTCTCAAAACTGTATTATGACAGAATTCAGGTTAGACCATCCAAACTGAGAAAAAAATACATTAATGTATTGATACTGCTCAATGAGAGTGAACTGGTTCACCGATTATCATATTTTATCCAACATATTTTTAGAACTTTCTCAGAGAAGTGCAGTTAGTTATTAGAAGATTTGGACTGAGAATTTTATAACAAACCCCTTGTGTTCTGCTTACCATAGGCTAGTAGTAGGAAAAAAAATAAATGGTTTACTTATGGAATATCACTAATTAAAGCATTTATTATAAGAACAATATTGTTTATTTTGTGTTTGGTTTGGATCACTAGCAAACAGCAGTCGGTATTTTATTTTCTCACATCGCAATAGACTGTAACACGTAAATACACACCTTGTGTGGCCAAACAAATGCAGAGTAATATTTTGTATTCATATTTTTGGGTTTGGAATGAAACAATGAAACAGAACTTTAGCAAGCCCCCCCCCCGCTGTTCAATTGCCTATTCAAAATCAGAATAAAGTAATACATGCCCACATAAACATTGTAAACTTTTTATTTTGTACTAAATACTTCAAAACCCAAAACAACCCAGACCTTACTAATATGACAAACAGGCAGGGAAGTAAGACCACATGTAATAACAAATACTGAAAACAGGTTAAAAGACAGTCACTATACCCTCTATTTTCTCTTTGCATTTCCATCAAGGAAAAGAACAGGTTAAGTCAAGAGAACATCAGGTATGAATTTAATAGGGAGTGAGGTGTGCAACACTCCTGAAAACCCAGTGAATTACTGTGTTAGTATGAAACTCCATGGGGTGTGTGTGTGTGTGTGTGTGTATAGGTTTTGCAAGAATTTAAAGTTCAGGTTTATAGCAGAAAAAAAAGGCAGCAGGGGCTATTTTGTAGAAACTGAAGACAAAAGAATGTAAATAGATAGGCCAGTAGCAGTGAACTTGGGGAACTGAAAAGAATGATCAGTACCTCCAGGTACCGGAAAATGCCACAGATGCAGCTGTAAAAAAAATACCAGTTAGACATTGTGGACACAATGTGATACAAAAGAGAAATGTGAGACTAGTGAGTAGATCTGAGCATTAGTTAGTTGTAATAAAACAAACAAACAGAGCCCAAAACAACAAACAAGAATATATGAAAGCTCTCATTAAAACAGCCACAGTTTGAGTAAACCACAGCATGTAATAAATATGTGAAGATCAGCAATATGTATACGGATGAGATTAACTAATCAAGCAGGTATGCACTTAGTCCGTTAAAGGATGAATTAAGTGGCAATGTTTAAAGAATCTCACTTAAAACGCAAATTACATGCACAACATTAATTATAGCGCGAAGGCACCAATCTGGAAGATTAACTGCAAAGGCAGTCGGTTACAGGGCTGTCTGCCGAAGCGGGGAAGGGTCAGGGCCAGGCAGAGAAAGGAAAGATGCGCCAGGCGAGAAACACGAGGACCAGGCACCAGCGGGAACGCCGCCGCCCTCCGCAACCCGCAGGGAGAGAGGGCCCACTCTGCTTGCCGTGCCGCTGGAGGCCGGAGCCCTGGCGGGCACAGGAAGCGCTAAGGGAGAACAGCAGCAAGGCCGCCCAGCTCGGAGTTGCCTGGCGAGGGGAGCCCCGCTCGCTACCTTCCAGGCCTGGCTCTGCCGCAGATCCTGAAAGTCCTGCCCGTAGATGGACTCCAACACCTGCAGCTCGTTCTCCTGCCGCAGCTGGTAGCTCTCCGGCGGCTCCGCGGCTACCTGCACAGGCAGCGGCTGGGCGCCGCTCGCCCGAGCCATGTCAGCTCCCCAGGCGCGAGCGGGAAGCAGCCATCGTATACAGCCCCACCGCACTGCCTCCCTGGACGTGGCACTGGCCCAGCGAAGGCCCCGCTCTGCCGCGCCCCGGCACCGCCTCCGCGGCGACGGGGGGAGGAGGAGGAGCAGCTGGGTGGGCTGGGGCCTGGTGGAGCGTCCAGGACCAGTTCCGCAGCCTTCAGAAGAGCCGTGTGCTGCCGTGTGGTGGGGTGGCTGCTGCCTTGGTCATGTTCCGTTAGCCCCGGACCGTCCAGGGCTGTAGACAAGACCACTCTCGGCAGCTTTCCTGGGGCTCTGCCACCCTCTGAGGGACCGCGGCATGTTGCGTAACTCGTGTCCACTCATGGTCCCATCTGCCTCCCTCAAAAGCACCATCTTAGCTGTGTAGGCCCGGAGCAGCAGTGTCTCAGAATCGTAAAATTATCTTGAGTTGGAATTGCGAGTCCAATTCCCTGCTCTGCACAGGACTATCTAAAACTAAACCGTGTAACTAAAAGCATTGTCCAGACACTTCTTGAGTGACAGGCTTGCAGCTGTGACCACTTCCCTGGGGGAGTCTGGTGACCAACCACCCTCTTGGTGGAGACCCGTTTCATAATGTCCAGTCTGAACTTACCCAAGATATGCCTCAAGATATATCTGCAAATACAGAGATAGGCACCAAATATGAGTAGTTACTGCATGGATTTTTTTAAATACACCTTGAGAAGTATTTACAAAGGGAAGAAAAACAAACCACAAAATTAAGAATGGATTTAATATCGAGCTGGGGCAGGATACAAGTTCATGTGGAAACTACATGTTTTCACTAATGATTAATTTAACAACTACCGGGAGGTTGAACGTGAGAGCCTTTGCCTTTTCCTTGTTGAACTGCAAACACGAAGCTAGGTAAGCAGATGTGTTTTTCTTCAGCCACTGCATGTGGCAACTACTGAACAGGATTGCCACAAGATGTAGTCTTTAGTTTTGGGATCTTAATGAAAAACCTCTAAGTAAATTCATACACACAAGCTTATTGATTAGGTGTGTGATCGCCAGGCAAAGAAAAATGCTACAGTAATCTGTAGTTTGCTACCGTGCACCCATACACAGTACTTCCATTTATTAGGAAATGAAGGAAACAAGTGTGGTCCACTGGAACCGAATGAACTGAATTGTGTGTTTTCCTTCTGCCTTACCAGGATTCCCACTAATATTATCTTTCTTCTAAAGAGCAAGTTCCCTCACCTGAACTGAAAACAACATAAGTTTCAGAGCCATACTTGCAGTATTTTAGACCTCTGTTTCAGTATAATAGACCCAATTTTTCTTTACTTTTGTAATTGCATGGAAAAAAAATCTTCTGCTGCTTCTCTTTATTTTAATTACAAGGTTTCTCCCAATAGAGTTCTAGTGATCTTTACTCCCTGACCTTGGAGTACAGACTCCTTGTTTTAAATACACTGCTTAAGGAGGGACTTACTCTAATGAGTAGTTTCTATAGTCCTCAGTTTCTCCTTCTGAAATTGACATCTTGTTAATGCATACTTTATCTTTGCATTTCACTTAAACTAAATTCTTATGGTCCCCAGCTGGGTTCATAACAATGTTTCATAATTTCATAATGTCATTAGCATCTAACAAAAACCAAATCTTCAACTGTGTCACTGTTCTGATGCTGTTCTCTGTTCCTCACCATGTCTGGGAATGACTGGAATGTGCCTTTAGTAATGTTTTTCTGTTTCTTTTTTTTTCTTTTTTTTTTTTGTGGGAAATGGCATGAACAAAGCTCTGTAGTATTTATCTAACCACAACAGAGATCTCCTTTTACACAGTCACAGGTGACCTGGGGCACTGTAATTGTCCACTGAAGTTTCTTGCATCTTCTTAGAAGTAACTGCTGTATTTGACCCACGGGTGCAGTTGGGTATTTTTCATCCATCAGTTTGTTTAGGTGTTCTCTCTCTAGTAAAGACTAGAAATAAAAATTTCTAGGCCACAGATTCATCTTGTCTCCTACCAAAAGATATGGCAAGAATGGCCAATTTGAATATATGATGCAGTAAATAATTAAGAAACTTCTGTATTTTTTTCTTTAACAGAAATTATGGGTTTACACTTTCCAAGCACGTTGCGTGAGGCACACAGCCCAGCATTTGGCAAACTTCCCCGTGTCAGTTTGCATAACAATGGGTGGGTCAGGTAACGTTATGCATTGTTAAAGCTCCCCCACTGTTCCTGTTCTTTGTGATGGCAAAATTTTAACCAGTTGGGATGAAATGTTCTAGACCAGATGTCTACCCCAGGCTGGTTTTTTTTCTCTTAATTTCTTCTACAGTGATTCACTGTTTCCAAGAAGAAAGCCAGAGACAAGTAACTTAATAATTAAAAAAAAAAAAAAATCACAATCATTTATTTTAAAGTCTTGTGCCCCAACACAAGCGTGAAAATTTGGTAGGTGATGGGGAAGAGACACCTTTTTCAGGGCTGTGGCTTTGCTAGCTAGCCTTGAGAAAACCTGCACAAAGTAAACAAAAATATATTATTTAGGGAAAAAAAAGATAATCAAATACTCTGCACAGATCTATTGGAGTACTGTGAACATCACTGAAGAGTATGCCTGTGCCAAACACGTGTATCTGGACAGAAGCTTCCCTTCCAAAATTTAAAACTTCAGTATCTCACATTAAAATTTAATTCTAGCCACTAAAATTTAACGATGTGAGATGTTATATTGTGCTTTCACTTCCCCCTGTGCATAGGGAGGGGAGGTTAGTCTCCCCTGGTGAGTTGCAGGAGAGTGGGGAAGGGTCCCAGAGGGAGTAACTGAAGGAAGGGGCTGCCCTCTAAAGAAAGGCACCTTGTAGGTGGCTGGGAGGTGGAGAGGAGGTCAGAGTGGCCAAATGGCCACAGAAATGCTGGGGGACTGAAAGGACAAAGCCAGTTTGGGAGGCCTAGGAGACAAACATGAGAGGAAAGCAGGGTAGTAGCTGCTGGCTTTTGCCTGGGTAAGGTGGGGAAAAAAATGGGACTGGCTGGACAAAGTGAATGGCTTGTGAGCAGGTGTGAGAGGAAAAAGCAGGAGAGTGACTCAGGCTATGAACATGGAAGAGATATGAATTACCAGGAAAGAGCCTGGAGCAATGACCTGGGAGATACACACTCCCAGAGAAGAGGCTGCAAGTGTAGAGGCTGTAGGGCCTGTAGTGTTATAGGGTGGTAGCAGCCTACATTTCCCTGTGGTCAGCACACGTCTCTGAACCCATGGCGGAGCATTTGGCGTTTTCCTGTATCATCCAAGTCCACATCACAGGAGGCAGCACATAGATCACAGAAGTACATTTTATCAGTGTGGGGTCCTTGAAAGCCTTGGTGAGCAGGGGTTATACTGGTGGGCTCTTCCAGAGGGCACATCCACATTGCCAGCCAATAGCTGAAAGGCCTTTTGCTGCTTCTTAACTAACAATCCACCTAAAATCTTCAGATATGTACTCACTATATGGATGCAGGTAAACTTCTTGCACAATTAAAACCCAAACTTACTATGCCAATAAGGAGCTTACCCGATAAAATACGTATTTAAAATATTTTAACAAATAACACGTATAAATCTGCACTGCCTTTTGAAATTTTCCTGAGGTACTTACCTGTGTTATAACACCACTGGACACCGGACTGGGCCTGCCCACCGAAGAGGAGGAGCTCTCTGAGGGCTACCTCAGGCGCTGCCCACCAAAATGTCGGCCCCGTTGGCTGCCGCGGCCACGTGATGGCGGCACTCCGCCCCTTGGGAGTGTGGCGGTGGTGGGAGCTCGGCGGTCCGCCCCGGCCGCTTGGCTCCGCCCGGCCAGGCCACCGCCTCCCGCGGGCGGTGGGGCTTGGCGGCTGTGGGGTCGTGCAGCTGTCTGGGTCGGGATGTTGGCGCATGTACGGGCAGGGTGTTACCGCCGGCCGTGCTTGGTGTGGGGCACGCTCAGAGTGGGTCGCGCAGAATCGTACGGAGGCTTTTCGGTTTGTTGGAGGCTCGAGTGCCCCCAGCCTTGGGGTTCAAAACCAAATTAATTTAACCCGAGAAATAGCTGGAGTGCAGTGGAAGTCATTGAACGGTCGCTGGCTTCCCCGGGCTCCGTATAAAGGTCTTCTTGGTGTCCAGTGTCGCGCAGAGTGGGGAGGAACGCTGGACGGAGTCGTGTGTCACTACGGGAGGAGTGGGCAGGAAAGAAGAGAGCGCTAGGAAATGTGCCACGGGGCAAAAGGTGTCCTTCCTCCCTCAGGGCTGTGAGAAAAGCTAACGTCAGGGCAGAGAGCGGAGTGGGGAAAGCGCTTGTGGTCCACCAACTCTTCCTGGCTGATTTCAGTGTATAGGGTCCATGTGCCTGCGAGTGTGTACGCTGTGGTGCGAGACGACCTTCTGGCGGGGTGAGCTGCGGTGTGGACTGTGATTTTCTCATGCACGTTTATTGCAGTAAACCATGCTGAGGAAACGCTGTGGCGTTGTGAAGCAAGAAATATGGGACAGCAGCTAATCGCAAGGAGGAGCCTGCTTTTTCTGTTTACCGGTTATCGTAGTTTACAAGATGAAAACGTGAAAAGCCAACCCTGCTTTCTGGCACACAGAAATACGGTTAAGATGCCTCCAAGTGTTAGAGACAGGGCTTTGTCCTCAGAAGTGCCTTTTTGCTTGTGGGCTGCAGTCAGTCGCTGAAAGCAGGGGCTCAGTAACCTGTGGGTATTAGGTGTTAGCAAGGAAAGCAGGAACTCCGCCATGGGGTACAACAAAAGCTGGATCTCGAGGAATGAAAGCGAGCATCCCCCGTACCAGGCTGTCACCAGAGCTCTGGAGATGAGAAACGCATCGGCTGGGCAGATGGTGTGGCAGGGTGGGAACAGCAGCCAGGCTGGGGCTGCGGAGAGCGAGGAGCACAGCCAGGAGCAGACCTACAGGCATTTCACTACCACGGTGCAAATCGTCATCTTCATAGGCTCTTTGCTGGGTGAGTGAGTGTTGCTGGACTTTTTTGTTGATGTGGTTTGTTTATCATTATGGCCAGGGACTGCAGACGAAATGGTAACCAGCATAACTTGCTGCTGTAGTGACCCTTCTTTCTGCATTTTAGGTCCTCAGCTGTATGATTTCATGCTCCTTTTTTTTTTTAATGTGTAAAAACTACTACTATAAAATTCTATTAATCACAACTGAAAACTGGTACAATATATGTATGTATTGCTTTGTAAACTTTTCTATCACAATTTAAATGGGCAAAATTTAAATGCATTGATTACACCTTTAGTTTAAACTGTACTGGGATCTGTTCTCTAAAGAGATAGGGTGTGAGTGTTTTAAACAAGCTTTACTCAGTTTCTGTTTCACAATGCAGAAATCCTGTGTTTGTATCCTCAGATTTTAAATTAATCCTTTGGAAGTACTTTATGCTGTAAAATGTATAACCATGTGCAATCTTGCCTATTTGTTATCCTTTAAAGTAGAAATCATACACTTTAGATATGTGGTAGTAAACTATTAATATATTGCCAAATAATTTTACAGATGTGTGTATACTTTCTAGATGTTTATAGCATGTTGTTTTATCAGGAATACATATGCATTTTTTACAAAAGGCAAAATAAGCCCTTTGGTGAGTCAAGTTAGCACTGTTCAGGAGATCAGTAAGCTGGATTTCAGTAAAATGCTGCTACTATCTGAATCATTTAAAGCTGATTACTGGAAATCGTGAGGCTTTTCACACAAGGCTTGACAAAGAAAGTCTCGAGCTCTCTTAGGGAGAGTTCAGTAGGACTTTACTGATGGTCACTGGCTCTTATCATCAAAGATTTGTTTTTGTTTTTTCCGATCTTGAGTAATGCTAAAATCCATTTCTGTGGTCGTGGTAATTAATTGTAATATCAATTTCTTCTTGGCAGTATTTAACATCACAAATAATTCTTAGTAAGTTGGTACACATAGTCTTGGAACAGCATTGGGCACAGCGGTATGCTTACTGCTTGTTACTGTAAATCACTGACTTTTGGCCTCAATTCCTCTGCCCAGTGCCGGTAATCCTCTTGGTTCTTGCTTATTTATTTATTTATTTATTTAGCACATAGATGGTGTGGGGAAAGCGGTCTCTTTGAGTGTGTTTGGTAGTGCCTGGCACAAAATGACAGCCAGCAGATAGCGTCCTGAAAACTAACAAGATTAGATGAGAAAAGACAGAATTCATTCATATTCTTCATTCTCTGGGATTTGAGCCATAAGAACATATATCTGGGTCATGTGTCCACACTTGCTTTCATGAGCATGGATCTTTCAGTTTTATTTGAAGAAGAAAACAGACACTGTCATGTAATCATACCTTCAGCAGCAGGAGTTCTTGAAAACTAACTCGCCAGTCAACAAATACCATAGCTATAAATTTTAGAAGATGACTGTAAGTCATGGTTTGGCAGTCCTGCAGTTTGCTTTCAAGAGGTGGACTCTGAAAAGATGGGGACCTAAGGGGTTTATGTGCAGGTTGGATGGCTGAGAGGCTGATGAAGCTTCCAGATCAGTAGCTTCTCCAGACCTACGAAAGAACAAAATAGGAGAGGAAGTGATGTATTTTTAAAACAGAAAAATGCAGTGGTCCAATGACAAATGTTAGCAGCAAGCCTCGTGAGTTTACAGTGATAAACAACAGTTTTATTTTTTTTTTTTCCAAACTGCCTTGTTTTCCAGTCTCCCTGCTGTCCTGAAACACTATTTTGACAATATTTATGAGACGTGCTATTGTAATACCTTAAAACTTAAGAATCTTTAAACATGACTTCCCATATCATCCCTATTCCACCTTTACTGAATGGAAACAAAGCCACGAAGAAGCTAAAGCCTTGATCTCCTGGTCTCAGGGTTTCTGTGCTTGCATGCTCAATCCTCATATGTGGCAGAAGTTTTGCTTGTGCATGTGCTGTGTGCTATCTCCTGCATCAGCAAGGGAGAACAACTTGATATTTACCTGACGCTTATGGTGGTACAAGCCATTATTTACATTTTCCTCTTCATTTGTTCTCTGCCATGATCCTTAGAATGTGGGTGATGTCCAGCTCTTTTCTCCGTCAGGTGAGCCTCTCAGCTGAGCTGCAGGGTAGTCCCGTGAGTCTCAAGTTTGCCTTTGCAGAGGGGAAACCCTTCAAGAGGAATTAAGACTATCCTTCCTCCTAAAGAATGAGGTGTATTTGAATCCTTTCTGGTTTAGGTGGTTGTACAACTTATTCATTCTCACAATGTCAGTGTGTGCCCAAGCCACTTTGCTATTGGATAGAACAGCACTACCCTTTTAAAAGGAAGAAGTAATTTGTACTTCTGCCTTGAAAGGAAACAAACATCTATGTCTTAGTCCTGATAATGGACACTGGGGTCTGACGTAAGTAGCGGTCTACAGCACAGAGTGGTCCATGTGCTACAAGAGGGAAGTATCACGGTTGGTGTTGTGAATTTAATTTTGGTTCCTGCTGTGTAGAAGTATGCGATAGTGATGGTTGTGAGAGAGATGTACGTTATGCTGTGTTTGTTTACTTTGCAGTACATCAAAAGTACATCCTTAGTTATTTCAGGTAGCAGTAGCAATGATACTAGATTCTAGAGTTTCTGTTTATCTATAAAAGGGATTACGTAGTTGTCAGAAGCTTGCCAAAGCTTGAACCTGGATGTGACATGTATATCAGAGGATTTAACTGGTAGAACCAACCAGAAGTACCAAGAAGAGGCTAGCTAACTGGCAGATTGTTTTATTTTTGTTCTTGGTGGGGCTTTTTTTTTTTTTGTTGCTGTTTTGTTTGGTTGTTTTTTTGTTTGTTGGGTTTTTAGGGTTTTGTTTGTCCTAATTTGATGAGAGCTTTCATTGTTAAAAAATTCTGATTTTGTAAAGAACCAAATTATTTCATGTTTGGAATGGACAAAGTATAATTATTATTAGTCAAAAAATGACTTATAATTTTGGGCAGTTAGACATGAGAGTTCTTCAAATAACTTGGTCATGATTTACTGAGTTTATGAAGCTATAATATGATTAAATGCTACAGTTTTAAGTAGCTGTTCATGAGACTTTGAGTCTGCAGAAACTTCCTACTGTTGCTCTTCCACTGTCTGTGTGGAAGTTCTCACTTAGCAGACTAGCTATGATTTTAATATTCAGGGACTGAGGAATAAGAAGGGGTAAATCTGCATCTCTGTGCTTTGAGCCCACTGTGTGCTCGTTTGGTTGTAGCCTACCATGAGGTTTCTGCAAAAGATAGGAGGCATTGGAGAGAGGAATTTAGTCAATTTAGTTACCCTGATCAGCAGCTTGGTTTGCCTCTGTGAAGGAAAGATTTAACAGTATCTTCAGGACTTGAAAGCCATTTCTGGCTGTGATGCTTAGCTGAGTGCATGAAATGGGGAGTACAGCTGAGGAGCTTTAAATGCTCTGCACATGTTGATGGACCTTACTTACCAAATGCACAAGGTGAGGTACCAAGTATGTATGAAACAAGAAGATCTTGTTAACACTGTCTTCCTGTGCATTTTTTTCTGGTTCTCCTCCCCGTTCCACCAGGGGATTGGAGAGTGAGCGAGTGTCTGTGTGATACTTGCCAGCTGGAGTTAAACCATGACACTAGTAATGGCAGTTCTCACAGTAATGGCATTTCCTAGCCTGTAAGCTGTTAACTCAGGACTATAATAAAACAGTGAAAATGCTTGTCATTGGTGTTTCTTGTTCCACTGTTTGAACTGTTCTTGGGAAAGTGGAACATGTTACAGAAAAAAATACAAGTGTGCTGAGCTTCAGCAGAAGAACAAGAAAAAGACCTATGCTTCTCATTACCACTTTGCTTTTCTGATCCACGTATGTACTTCATAATCCTTGAGATGAAGAGAGTAGGTGCCTCAGGAACTCTGGAATAGCAAGTGCATGTGTAGAGATGTGTTTCTGGCATGGGGTCAGATGAGCTGCACTCATTAATTTGCTTAGGCCATAGCTGTGCTGGTACAATGTGTTTACGGTTGCTTCAAAGAAAAATTACTACAGGAGAATAGGAGACAAAGTAACTATGCTGCTTCTCTTATGAATAACTGTAGTTTGTATTCCTCAATTGTGCCTAATTGGCTTACCAAAAGGAAAGCTATTGTGCTGAATTTCTGTGTGTAAGGCAGCAACTTTCATTACCTTAAATATAAGGGAAAGTGAAAGACACTGACAGGAAGAACTAGCTGATTTTACTGGCCACTAGAATGATGCAGACAGGAGCAGTGTGATATGAGAAGCAATACATGCTGTCAGTGCTGATTTCCTTCGGTTGATTTAATCCTGACTGGTAAAAGGCATCAAGAGATTCGAGCTTGTCGTGTCCTGACTTGTTTTGAAAGGATGTAGAATTTATCAATGGAAGAACAAAAATGGAAGAGGTTTGCTTTGAGATTGATTACTTCATTTCCACTAATCCTGCACAGATCCATCTGCTCTGCGGTTCCCTGTATATTCTGCATGAGTCAGGTTAGATCATTTTTCACTGCCTTGTAGGAGCTGTTTTGTTTTGCCTGACTTGTGTTTCAGGCTAGTTCCCTCCACCTGCCATCAAATGGATGTGGCTAAGATGATGAAGTCAGGATTACTTATGGAATTGAGTGATGATTTGCAGTCACAGTAATACTGGCTAGGATCCTTAGGTGGCAAATTCAAATGGCAAATATCAAAGGGATAGTATTGTTCATGTGAAGTTGATAAAAGGAAGGATAAAATAAAACTGAGGTTTAGAACTTCAGCATTGTCAAACTACTGAGGTTTTGAAGATGGAGACCATAGTCTCCATTCTCATATGTTTGTTTTTGTGGGATTTTTTTCTTGGCATATTACCCTGTCTGTCTTTCTTTAGGTTCTTGTTTCAGGATCCGTTCTCTTCACAGTGTTGTTGTGCCACCTATTGTCATAGTAGTAGTGCCATCAGTGATGCAAATTAATGACAAAAGCATGTTTTTTCA